ATGTCCTACTTTAAATAGCCAAGAAGATGGCTTATTCATTTTTGACAGGGTTTTTATTAAAATCAAAAGCTTTCTGAAGTCAATGAAAAGAACTTTCACTCACTTGGTGCATCTACACATGATGCTATGTCACTGTAGCAATGTGCTACAGTGACATAGCATTGGTGGTCACAAACTGTGACACCGCAACTGTGATGTCACTATAGCAACATGCTCCCTCATTATGGCATGTTGCTAATGCAACGTAGCAGCTAAAGATAACTGTGCACAGAACACACGGTGCAGTACTCGCTATTACCATCATTGAGTCCTTCCAATACGTCATTTGGTACTCCTAAATGTTGGCGCAGTACAAATGATGCTGTAGGGACATGTGCAGATACATCCACTGTGATCTAGAATTTGAAAAATTGTAGATGATTTCTTTATAAGAGCTGAGTCACAGGGTAATAACTTTCTAAACCATGCTGAGCTATTCCTGCTCATGGCTTTGTTTGTTAAGAAAGTTATCTTCTGTAACTTGACATAGTGTGAAAAAGAAACACAGGCTGGGATCCAAAATTTTAACTCAGGCTTTGAGCACGACTAATCCAGAGACCATAAGTACCTACAGCTCCTTTTGCTTTTACCTATAGATACTCAGTATAATATGTTTCAGTCTCCCTATCAGAAGACAGGGAAGCAAGGTGAAAAGTGTCATTAGGTTATTATTTTTCGAAAGGGTAACCATTATCTTTAAACTTGGGTGAAAATCGCAGACCTATTTATTTATAAATACTACCAATGACTTTGTAACAGATACAACAGTAAATGCAGTAAATGTTTCTTCCACTTTGCAGTCTATGTAGCAGCCTTTTTTGTTGTTGTTAGTTTTGTTATCTGCAATGGTACGCTGTCACAAACCCCACCAAATGTTGTGGGGTTTCTAGGGTGTCAGGCAGATTTTCTTGCATTTGTTGCACTGATATGGCATGTGTGGTCTCCTTGAAGACACATGTTATACTATATTTTTTATGTTGCCTTTTTCTCTGTATGGATTATGTTATGCGTATATACTAGGATTTTGAACATGGTTTAGCCAAAGGAAATGAGGGCTGCCTACTTAAGGAAAAAAGAGTACACAAAACTGCTAAGTGTCTCTTGCCTTATAGTGTTCTTGATAAGGACAATTGCCACTTCAACTGCAGAAAGAAGGGGACTCTGATGGGATGGAAATCCACATTATTGTCTCCTTGCAATGAGAAAAACAACTACGAAGGCATCTAAGTGAAATGGCCCATCATCCAGAGGAATTCCAGCTGTCCCTGGCAGGAAAGAAATGTCTAGAGGATTCTGAGAATCATGAGGAATTGGGGGTATGCTGAGTGGGGGTGGGAGGAGGGTGATGGGTGTGTTTTGGAGGTATTTTTAAGGACTATCTGTGACTTTGCCAGGGTCTTTGGATTTTCTCAGATTTGTGAGGAGTCCAGGTCCCCAGCAGTCAGGGCTGCCAGGATCAGAGGAAAGCTGATCTCAGAAAATACTGGCAGGTCTCTCTGAAAGACTGGCAGTAGTCAGATGAGAGGGTAAGAAACTTTACTTGTCTTTTTGTTCTGTCTTCAAACTTATAGTAATTTTTTTCTTGTATAATTCTTTTCATCTATATACTAAATCCTTTTGTTGTTTGTTTCTTTACTGATTGCCTGTGATGAAGAGCAAGCTCTGGACTAATGACATCCCAGGGTAACCCACTCTACAACTAGGAAGACCTAAAATTTCTTTCACAACCCAAATGGAATATACCTAGAGCTGGCAGACATTCTGCTGCCACAGCTGAAAGCTTTGGTATAAGGTTGGTGTATCTGAGGCTTGCAGGGATAAGAAGTTATCTCAGGGCAAACCTTGGTCTGTTCCTTGGGAAAGATGATTAGACAGTGGGGAGAAATTTGGTGCTCTGGGGCACCCTGCAGCTGGGTTTCTGACAGCACCCAAGATAGCTGCATAGGGCAAGCACATGCATATAGCACCCCACTTCCCCCATAACACTGCATGTACCCCTCCCCCCCTCCATAGGACCATTTACATGAATGAAGTAACAAACAGGTGTTAATGTCAGCCATTTGCCCTTTACTAAAAAGGCTCCTTGAAATCAGAGACTCAAACAAGATACTCTTGCAAACAGACACACTAATAATAATAATAATAATAATAATAATACAATAACACCACTCAGGACCAAACAAAAAGATGCTCCATGGAATTCATAATTAGCTATTTTAAAAGAACTAATGTTAACAATGCCCCTTTCTTGTTCACTGAGCACATTTTTAAACCTTTTTCCTGTACAAGTCATATGCAATTAGCCTAGTAGAACGGTATTTTAAAGAGGATCTACCATATTATATAAAAACTGAGATAATTTAATTTGTCCTACTCATGATTTAGGTTGGTATTATAAAGATATAATGTAAAGTCTTCAGATATTGGCTGAGCTTCTTCTCTTTCTCCTAGGAGGCAGTGATTTACATGCAGCTCATTAGAGCTTCTCACACCTAGTGCTCTAAATCATTGGTGGCATGGGCAGCCTCTCCATGTGTCACATGGCAGACTGGGGGGAGAACAAGCAGCACAGTGGCAGATTGGGAAAGAAACAGAAAGCAAAGCAGCAAAACAGACAGGGAAAGACACAGAAAGCAGAGCTGGAGATCAGGCAATCCCTTGGGATCAGAGAGCACTTGGGTGGGTACAGGGCTAATTTGTGGCACATCTGCCAAAACGATTGGCCCCCACTGCTCCAAACAAAACATAAATGCCATAACCAAATCTCAACAAGTTCTGTATCACAATTAATATTAAAAGGCAGGGTATATATGCACCTTTCTAGACAAACTAAATAAGATATATAAATAATAAGATTGAAAACAAGAACTGAGCCTTCAGCATGTAATAATCTGCATAAGGAAATATTGATTTAAGTCCAGATCTAACTTGAGACTGACAGTTTGACCATCAGTGTTACACTTGTATCACTAGCTCTGGGGCATCCTGCAGCTGGGTTTGTGACAGCACCCAAGATAGCTACATAGGGCAAGCATATGCATACAGCCCCCACTTCCCCCATAACACTGCATGAACCACTAGCTTCATTTTTATATAGTTAAGACTAATATCTTACATATTTATTTGTACCGAAGGCCACAGAATCTCACTGCAACACTGGTGTTCAAGAGCGAAAGCACAAAAGGAAGAGCAGAGGAGCACATGGTCAGCCCCAAGTGGTTTGATGTATGCATTTCAATATTTTCATTTTCAAGCTACCTGTGGGAGCATGGAAAATGTCCCTACCCTCTGCATGCTAGTCAGAGTGAAGACAGACGAAACCATTAGACCAAATGAACGAAACAGGGGATTTACCATTTCATCTGTCCGCTACTATCCTGAAGTAAGTAGAAGCTAATCCACAAAAAATTACCACCCATTCTATTTAGAGGCAAATTATTACTTTTGCTTCACTTACTGTGGGATAGAAGCACACATAGGAAGCAGTGACAACAGAATATGTCATTCTGGCATGTGCTCCTGAATACTGTCACCTTACACCATGAAGTAGAAAAGACAGAAGTATTTATCTGTTTATCTGTCCATACCCTGACTGATAGGCTGAATAAACAACAAACACCAGCAAGCTTATTTGCTTCAAGATGATGTTTCACTCTGTGTTGCCCATTAAAAAAAGACACACTTAGGAGGATTCTTGTTAGGTCTTGCTCTAGTCTTCCTGCATTGTTCCTACTTTCTCCATCCCTTTCTAACATGAAGAAGAAAAGCAAGCCTGCATTGCTTAGAAGCACTACATTTCTGCAGGAGGTAAAGAGAAGAATCATCCTCGTTGAATAAAGACTCTCTCCTTTATACTCACTAACTCATGCCATAATGCTATAGATTCATAAAAACAGAATCAACCTTTAGCAAATCAGGAAATCTTGAAGTGGAATGAGCATGCTCATGTAAATCAAAAGCCCCAGTTAATTAGTTTAGCTGTATATAAACCTTCATAGAGAGCAAAATTATCTGCTTGGTTATAATAGGGTAGAGATTTGTGAGGAAAAGAACCTAACATTTGGTAGGAAATTTAAAATGCAAAGCAAGATATTCTCAGACAATCTGAAAGTTTCACATTGAAAAAAAAATGTTGTAAAGCTCAGGAAAAAAAAGTCACTGAAATCATTCTGCTTCACAACAAAAGTTATTTCTCAGGAAAAACATGGATATTTCTGAATTTCACAGTGCAGCATCATGCAGACACACCAAGTTACCATAAGCACCAAAAGCAGTATAGACACATTAGTACAGGGCTCACCTGTGACATATTTACCTTGCTGAGAAGGGATACTTTAAAAAAAAGCAGGCTAATTAGCAACAAAATTCACCCAATTTACTTTATAAATTCTGAGCAAATAAGCAAGCAAGTCAGGTTATACTGTTCCCTGTACCAAAGCTCAGCTGGGTA